GGCTCGATAATAAAACATCGCCTGCAGCATTTCTTCTTCTAGGAGGATCGAAGCAATGTTGAACCCCTGATGGTGTAATATGCATAATAATTAAAGATCGATCCATCAGATCAAATAACAAATCAATAAATATATCACTTTCGCCCACACCAAGTCCCCCTTTTCCCATTTGATGTATATAATATTCGTTTGGCTGTGTATATTGATCAAACCTAAGAGAACGGTCTCTGTCCAAAATGTTCGCACAGATACATGTAGCTAAAGAAACGGTGATCACTCAGACTGTGTGTGTGTGTGTGGCGGGGTACGGGTTGTTGCCGCCGCGCCTGTGCGCTACGTTCGTGGTGTGCGCGCTTGCGTGTGTTTGCGTCATCGTGCGTGCGCTTGCGTTTCAGTGCGTGCGTGCGTGGCATGAGTGTGTGTGTGTGTCGTGTGTGTGTTTGTGTTTGTGTGTGTTGTGTGATGTGTGGTGGTGTCGTGTGGTCGTGTGCCGTGCGTGCTGTGTCGTGCGTGCGTGCGTGCGTGCGTTGCGTATTCGCGTGCGCTGCGGTGCGTGCGTGTCCGTTGCGTGCCGTGCGTGCGCTGCGTGCTCGGGTGCGCTGCGTGCGTGTCCGTGCGTGCTGTCTTTGTGTGGGGTGATGTTGTTGTTTTGTGTGTCGCTGTGTGACTTCAGTATATCAATGCAATCACGCATATAGATACATTGGCACTCAATCAACACTAGTCATCATGTACTTCAGTCGCACTTGAGGTGGCCAAATCTTGTGTTATGTTAAAGGGCCGGACACACTAGGCGATTTAAATCGGGGCACTAAATCGGGCGACTCACATTCCGCGCCGGATTCGTCCGCCCCCCCCCCCCCCGCTCCGATTTCGTCGCCGATTTAATCGACCATAGATCAAAAACGCTTTTTGATATTATCGGTGCGATTTAGTCGCCGATTTAGTCGCCGATTTAGATCGCCTAGTGGATCTCGCGAGGCCGGCGATAAATCGCCAGCGTTGTTCAATGAACTGTACGTAATAGCGATGTTTATGTTTAGTATGTCATGTCATGCTAATAGCAATGCCACGCACGCAACGGCACGTGTACGTGCATCACGCACGCAACGCACGCCTGTACGTGCAACACGCCACGCACGCTATGCACGCACGTCGTACGTGCCACACGCCCACGCCGCACGTCACGCTGCACATGGCACTGCCACGCCACGTACGCACGGTGCTACCTGCCACACACACACGCACGCACGTACGCAGCACTGCACACATGCACACACGTGTAACCTGCACACCGCACCACGCACCGCACGCACGCACCACATGCAGCACACGTGCACACGCACGCACGCACCACATGTACGCACGTGTAAGTGCACACCGCACCACGCCCCTACGCGCGCTTACGAACGCACCGTGTACGCTACACACGCACGGCACGCACGCCCCACGCACGCACGCACGCACGTGCTTACTTGCCACACCGCACGCAACGCCCACGGCACTGCTGCGGCACGTGTTACGCTGCTCACACGCCACACATATCGTCACGCACGTGTTACGCACGCGCACGCACGCCACCGTACGCCACGTATACCGTGCACACGCACGCTTCTACACACGCACGCACACACGCACGCACTGCACGCCACGTTTTACATACACACGCACGCTCGACACATTTAATGCACGCAGGTGTACGTTCACAGCACGCACGCACGCACGCACGCACGCACGCACCGCACGCACGTTATTACGTTGCTACATGCATGCACGACTAGGCGATTTCACCGGCGATTTTAGTCGCTGCCGATTTAATCGCCTAGTTCGTTCCACTCGACTCGCGCGATACTAATCGGGTCGTTAGTCGCCCGATTAGTCACGCCGAATTTCATATCTGCCTTAAGTGCTGTTCGGCCTACTAGACGCTATTAAATCGGCGCGACTGTAAGGGCCGGCACACACTTAGGCGATTAAATCTGGCGGCCGACTTAAAATCGCTTGGGAAATCGCCCCTAGGTGTCACTCAATCGCCGCGCCGATTTAGTCTCGCCGATTTATTCGCTCCGATTCATCGCACTGATCAAAAGCGTTTTTGATATTTATCGGCGGCGATTATTTCAGTCGCGCCGCATCAAAATCGCCTCAGTGTGTCGGGTTCGGCGATTTTAGTCGCCTCGATTGGACAATTCAATCAGCCAATCCAGAGTTGTTCAATGATAATGAACGTAATAGCGATGTTCATGCTTTTTAGTATGTCATGTCATGGTAATAGCGATGCACGCACGCACGAACGTGTACCATCTGCACACTGCGCGCCCACACACGCACGCACGCACCGTGTACGTGCACACGCACGCCAGGCACGCTATTGCCACGCCACGTGTTACCGTGCACTACGCCACGCAGGCACAGTACGCACGCACGCATGCACGCAGTACGTGAACGTGTACACGCACGCACGCACGTATATGTGCATACGCCGCTCGGTCACGCCACGTATACGTGCACACGGCACGCACTCACTGTACCCTGCCACAGCACACGCCACGCACGCACGCACGCACGTTGTACGGCCTCTGGTGACACGCACGCCACTCACACACGCACGCAGGCACGCACCGTGTACGTTCACACGCGAGCACGCACGTCACGCACGCACGCATGTCGCTACAGTTTAAGTGCCGCACACGCTACGCACGGACAGCACGTTGTACTTGCACGACGCCACGCACGCACGCACGCGCGCACGGTAGTGTACACGCACACATGCACGCACGTTACGCACGCACGCCACGCACGTATACCTGCACACGCCACACACGCACGCACACACGCACGCACGCACACACGCACACACGCCCACCGCATGCCCACGCCGTTTTACATACACACTGCACGCACGGCATGCATGCCGCGACATGTGTACGCTGCACACGCACGCACGCCACGCACGCACGCACGTCTACAGTGCACATGCGATGCACGCACGCCACGTGTACCTGTACTACACACGCACACCGGGACGCACGTACGCCACCAACGCACTCATGCACACACGTGTAAAATTCGCCTAGTGTGTTCCGTGTCTATCTCGCCTCGCTCAAATAATCCACTCGGACTCGCACGATAGAATTCGCGGCGATTTCGCAGTTCCTGCCCGATTTAGTCCGCCCGATTTAATCAGACAAGAATAGATAGATACAACATCGAATAAACAGAACGAAAAGAAATAAAAGAAATACGAGGCAATAATAAATAATATCAGAGAGACCGATAAAATATACGGACAAGAACAGTTAACAATAATCGACAAAGGCATAAATTAGAAAAATACGACCTAAGTGATGACTTCCAGTCAGTACCTCGGATCTGCCGCCAGATTATAGTCGCCCGATTTAATCGCATACGCATATTAATCGCCATAGATCAAACGTTTTGATATTGATCGGATGCGATTAATTAGTCAGTCGCTCGCTAAATTTAATCGCTAGTCGTGTCCGGGTCGGCGATCAACAGTCGCCGCATCTGTACCAATTCACTCAGCCAATCAGAGTTGTTCAATGAGACTGACTTAATTCAGACACGATGGGCAGATTCAATGGCAGCAACCGTGGTCCTCACGACCAACAGTTGGCCAATGTTGATCACTTTGAGGGAGGCGAAGCCCCCCCTCTTGCTAACGATACTGTCCTTGTCTGAGTTACAGGATCACAGAACGAAGAGAGAGGACCGTGAAGGTTTCGATGGCCGAGCGAACGACTCGGCGTCCACCGGTATGACCGGGCGGGGAAAATTGCTCATAACAATACACCGCGTACTGTAGGCCTTAAATATTAGCACTCAGTTGACAAAAATACAAGTCTCGCGCTTCGTCCTACAAGATTCAGTCACGATCCCGTTTATAGTTTTGTTACTACTGGTGTGGGGGTCCGAATTACATCGGAGTTCTTCGTGATCATTACTCTCGTTTGCGCGCCTGCCGTAGTGGCATTAATCGCAAGATAGAAAAATTCGGCACGATCCTTTTCACGAAGATATTCAACGTCGCACTTTCTAACAATAAAAACTTTTTTTCACGAATCGTATACATAAGAACAAGTGTGTACAGCTACATACCTCACTACACAATAACCTTCGTGATAAAGACTCTTCTTGACTTGTGAACATTGTCTTGCTATTACTATAGGGATTCATCATAATAATCAAGTAGTCGACCATAAAGAAGTAGGAACCTCGCCGTCAAAACAATCGCGTGATGTGTCCACTCGACTCGCGCGATAGAATCGGGCGATAAAGTCGCCCGATTAAATCGCCTAGTGTGTCCGGCCCTTAGCAGCTTTTAGGCTTTTAGCTTTTCCGGCTTTTAGGCTGCTTTATTATCGGAGATATCGTGTGTGTACCTAGATGTGTGTACCTAACATTTAACATTTAACGTCTAACACTTAATTTTAGCACAGGTATACATTTATCATGCTTGGTACGCGGGTACTATAGCTGTTTTAAGGTCACATTGATTTTGTCACGTCCAGTATGCATGCATCTACTGAGTAAATGGATAATTATATTGTTCTCTGGCCAATAAATATTTTACAATTGATCTAGATCTCTTCAAATATATTTCTAAGTACTATACATATAAAACATAACAAATAATTTCATACAATTTTAGACCGTTTTAAAATTATTTTTGAGATTATTTTAACTTTTTAACAGTAAACTAATCATCCCATGTAGTAGTTGTCTTCTGTACGAACTTCTGCTCCAATGATCTATATATCACACGCAGTCACCAGCATATACTGGGGAAAGGGATGGGAGCGTGGGTGATTTAGAGAATAAATCTGTGCACAGTCTGACCGACATACATGATTTAGAAACGTGGTGGCAGATTTGCTATCTACAGATATAGCTGTAGATAGCTGTAGATAGCTGTATATATGAAAACGCTGCTCACACAGAGATGGTCTGATGTGGTCTAAAGTTCAATTCTGTGCGTCGCGATAGGTTGCAAGCACCTCTAGCAGTAGCAAGCAAACACTGCGAAGGCCGTAGGGTTCGTGCTGAGCCGATGAGAGAGAGAGAGAGAGAGTCGTCCCTCCACACAGAGCGTATATCAGTGTGAGGTTGGGTCGGCAGTACGTGAGAAGGGTTGGAAGGCATCGTACGTGGCAGCTGCAGTGAAGAGTTGACACCGTCTCCAGCTGTTACGCAAGTAAGCTAACTAACTAATGCTCGCGCGGGAATGGTCTCCCCTCCCCCACCACCCCCCGCAGCGTTGCTCCGGCTGCAATTAGTTTGATTGGCTTAAAAATACAAATGATCTATTTTGTTGTTAAATTTATTTTGTTGTTAAATCCTGAGCATACGTAAAAAAAAGCGTTTAAATATAGCGATTACTAAAGCAGATGCCACTAATTTCGGAATGACTCACTATAATCAGCACGCTTACTCACTTATTACCCATATTATATCAAGTGTTAGTGTTATTAATACCTTGAATATATATCTTGATATATGTATATATAGAGAGAGGGGAAGAGAGAGTGAGTCACCGCCGAGTGACGATACCAGAGCCGACCCCGACGCCTCCCCCCGCTGCGCGCGAGGATGAGCGCGGCGGTCCCCGGGCGCCGCTCCCCGGAGAGGCCCCCGCTGCCCGCGCCGCTCGATGCGCCCACGCGTGCGTCCCCGCAACGGCTTCCTCTCGTCCTCGGCGGCTCCCCGCCGCCACACGCGGCAGCGACGCCAGCTCCCCCGCGGAAGCCCCCACCGCTCCGAATCCCGACGCTCTCTCTTCTCGTCACCGTCTCTCTCTCTCTGCGTCTCCTGTCGTCCCAACGCGGGCGTCCTCTCTCCCTCCGACCAAGCCACCTTTCTCGCCACGCCTCCTAGCAGAGGCGCCCCGCCCGCCCGCCTCAACGACGCACACCTCGCTCTCTCACCACGCGGGAGCCGGGCAGGTTCGAGACACGATGCTCTGTAGCGTGGCGGCTACGATCGCCCGACGGCACACGGACCCGATCGTCGACCGCCCGATCGCTCGGTGATCCGGCCGACGGCCCGACCGAGGACCCCAGCCTCTCTCTTCGTCATCTCTTCTCGATCGTCCCCCAGCTCAGGCACCGGCGGTGCTCGCCCGGCCAGCTCTCGCCCTCATCTATGATAGCTACGTCCACACTATATAATATATACCACTATATAGTATACATATATATATATATTGCTTGCCATCTCCTCTGCGGCCGGACCGGGGGAGGAGAGGGCGAGCAAGAGCACATTGCGAGAGACGAACGACGAAGGCGACAGACGAGAGAGAGGATGAGCTATGCAGGGAGGGGCAAGAGGGAGAAATGAAGAGACGAGGAGAGAGAGGAGAGAGAGGCGAGAGAGGGAGTGAGAGAGAGAGGAGAGGGGAGAGCAGAGAGAGAGAGAAAGAGAGAGATGGGAACAGAGTACCTTGGTGAGAGAGGGAGCGAGAGAGAGAGATACTGTGTGAGAGAGAGAGATACTGTGAGAGAGAGAGAGAGAGAGAGAGAGAGAGAGAGAGGAGGAGAGGATGAAGAGAGAGAACCGCAGAGAGATACTGTGAGAGATAAGAGAGAGAGAGAGAGAGAGAGAGATACAGTGAGAGAGAGAGAGAGATACCGTGAGAGATACCGAGAGAGTAAGATATCGACACTAACAATGCACTACAGGAATCGTCGCTGGCAGCGAGACGCCCCTCCACTCGTGCCGACGCTGCTCCGATGAAGCACACCCGCGACAATGTCTAGCAAACGCCCGCAGCGGCTGCAGACGAGCGAGTCTGCGAAGAGCCTCGACGACAATGAGCACGCGAACCCGACCGTCTGCGGCATCGAGATGAAGGGCGAGCACGAGGACTCGCCGTACGGATGGGGGCGGCTGCAGCCGTCCTGCTTGCAGGGCATGCGCAGCGTCAAGTGGTTCCTCTTCTGGATCTGCTGGGCCGGCGCGCTGCAGGGCATGATCGTCAACGGGTTCGTGAACGTCGTCATCACGACGGTGGAGAAGCGCTTCTCGCTGAGCGGCGCCGAGGCGGGCCTCATCGCCAGCTGCTACGACATCGCGTCCGTCATCTGCGCGCTGCCCGTCAGCTACTTCGGGGCGAACGCGCACCGGCCGCGCTGGCTCGCTCTCGGCACGATCGTGATGGGCATCGGCGCGTTCGTCACCAGCCTGCCGCACTTCCTGACGGCGCGCTACGAGCCGAGCGTGGCGGCGGTGAACGGCAGCGACAGCCTGTGCGTGCTCGGCGGCAACGCGACGGACGTCTGCGACGAGGCGGACGCGTCGCTGCGCGGCTACAAGTACGTGTTTTATCTCGGCCAGCTGCTGCACGGCGCCGGCGCGTCACCCTTCTACACGCTCGGCATCGCCTTCCTCGACGACAACGTGCGGCCGAAGCTCGTGTCGCTCTACGTCGGTGAGTGCGGGGACGGTCGGAGAGGGAGGAGGGGTGGGGTTATATTGTCGAAT